GAAGAAAGCAGTTGGCTGAGCGCCGGCTCCCAGCTCCCCTGCTCCCCAGAAAAGATCCCACTTCTGCTCTAAATATAGACTCAACCCCATGGTGCCTCCTACTCTGTAAATCAGGGGAAACAAGTCTTTCCACCCCTAAGAAAATATTTGCACCCACAGCAAAATCAGCAAATTTTTGGCTTTCCCCCAGTTGGGCTTCGGTACAAACTTTTCTGACATTTCACCAAAAACAGCAGCAGCCTTTTAAGAGGGAAATGCTTTTCTGACCTGCAGACAACTTCCTTCATCTATATGTGATATATATAAATATAAATATATATATATATACATATATATATACACACACACACATATATATACCACATATATATAATTTTATTATATATTACATATTTATATATAATTAATTCCATGTATAGTATATATGTATGTAATCTATATTATATGGGACAATTGTGTATTATATACATCATACAATATATTTATGTATAAATATGTGTTTATGTATATTTAATATGTGTTTTACATGTATGTGTTTGCATGAATGCATGTACTCATGTATGTATAGATAAACCCTGAGAGTCAGCACAGCAAAGCAACTTGGGATCAGGCTGAGCTACATTCACCATCTGCCTCTGATGGGTCCTGGCTTATGATCCTGGGCAAGTTAATTCCCCTTTCAGTATCCCATGCAACTTTCCAATATTGTAAATTACAGAAGAGGTGTCCATTTGCATCAGTGGAAAGAATTTCCACTATGGGATTTCCTTGCAATGATGAAATCAAAACACACACATGCACATAATTACATACACACACAATCATACACTCACTCCTACAATCTCACACACAACCACAATGTTGTAAATGGAAAGAACAATGACAAAACAGTTGAATTGAAACAAAACACTATGAAATTATACTGACCAAGCTAAGCTCAAAGAAGAGGGGAGAGAAGCCTGCTTCCTCTTCTCCCTCCTTTCCTCTCTCCTTCCCTTTCCTCCCACCTTCTCTCACCTTTCCCATTCTGCCTTCCCTCCTTTCCCTCTCCTTATCCTTTCCCTCCTCCCTTTCCCCTCTTTACTCCCTCTCTATCCCTGTCCTTGCCTTCTTTATCCTCCTTCCCTCCCTCCCTCTTCCTCCCCCCTCGCTCCCTTCATGTGCAACAACCCAGACTCTGTCAGACCTGCTTGATATCCTGGCTAGTTTTGCGGAATTGTTCTTTTTTCCTCTATTTGTTTGCAATTTTCCTCTCATAAGCTATGGGTTTCTGGGAGGAGAAGACAGGGATGCACCAGGAAATGCAGATGATATAAAATCAAAAGATAACAATAACACTGATTTTACACATACACCTGCACGTGCTATAAGTGTGTGTGTGTGTATATATGTATATACATACATATTATATATGTATATATATACACACATCTATATATGTATATATATACATATTATATATATATATATATATATGCACACACACATATAAATGGGTAGATGAACCTTATGGTACCTCCCATCTCCATACTTTCTGATCCCAATTGTCCCCAACATCTCATTTTTCTGGAGTTTTTCACTATCTTGTAGAGAGCCAGGGTGTCCCCAGCCTTCTTGCTCTTTTCCTAATACACAGACCCAGTGGCTAGCCAGGTAGCAGGGCAGCGAGGGCCACTGGCCCATTTTCTCTTCATGATCCTTCCAAAGATGGAGAATGAGGCCGTGCTGAAGAACTGCCCCTAGAGAGCAGGACAGAGCCGGCCATGATACTCTGGGCACAGAACTTCCAATGCTTTCTTTGTGGACCTCCATGAAGACTGACTTCATCTTCTACCAGAGGAATGAGGGTCTGCCAACACAGTGTTTGGCTTTGGGAGAAACCTAACAAAGAGTTTATTTTGGTCAAAAAGAGAGAGAGGGAAGGTTTTGAAGTCCCTTTCTAACAGAGTGGTAATATGTGTTGCCAGGCATCGGCCTCAACAAAGGCAGGTTTCCACATGAAGGAGGCATGTGGCCATCCATCTACAGACCCTCCCCAAAATATGGACTGCACATGTGCAAACAGCCACTGGGGAGGCAGGGAGGCAGGCAGGCAGAAGTTTCCTCTCCCAGGCTCCATTTTTATTGCTAATTACCATAGGCAATGGTCTAGATCAGCCCCACCCCATGAAGTCCTCTGCTTTCAGTCACACAAGCCCACGGGGTAATGACCCAGCTGTTCCTCTACTCCATTCTCTTTGGATGTGGAGATGGGCCTTCCAACAAGGCAGATGATCTCAGGCACTTACCACCTTGGCTTTTGTCTGACTTTCCTGTTATAAATGAAATTTGCCAAAGGCAAGGGAGGAGGAGGAAGAAAAGAAACAGGAAACAGACTGAGGAGATCACATATGCAACCTGACACACGTGCTTAGGTTGCTTTTTGTTTTTTTGTTTTGTTTTGTTTTTTAACTACGCATATAAGGATTGTTAAAATGCAAGTGCAGGAGGTAACAAGGTTCTTGACAGAAAAGAGACCTCTTCAGGCCCCAACTCTTCTGCCACCAAGATTTCTGAATTCAATGGGGAGGGGAACCCATGTCAAAAACAACCACCCAAATATGCAAAAGTTGATTAAGAAGTCACGTAACAAAAACATACTGGCTGGGGATCTGATATTTGTTAAAATGCTGTGTTTTCTTTTTCCTAGTAAACTCAGACAAGTTTAGAAAAGCAGCCTCGTCAATCTGGGCAACCATCAAAGCCCAACTAAGCCTTGGAAAGTCATTGGCTTTTCTCTTCCCAAGATGACCAGCTAATACCAGCCCACCAGAAAAACATCTCTGTTTGATATAGGGTCAACCCATCCCCAAACAGATGTGCCAATGAACCCCAGAAATACAACTGCCAGGGACTTTAGAGGTCAATGCAGAGCAAACAGAGGCCAAGAAATGCCAGGTGATGGGCCTCATGTCAAACGAGGGACAGAAGTGGGATTTCAATGCAGGTTCTCTGGCTCTACATCCAGTCCCGCTTGCGCTAAACTGTGCTAGGGAGCTAGGCATTGCCTCCTTCTAATCCGACTACGCATTTAGCACAGTGCCTGGCTTAATAAATCTTTGCCGAACAACTAGCTAACTGCTGCGCCGACATTCCTATCCTTTGGAAGACCAGGAAATCCATTTACTCTCCTTCACTTCTCCCCCAGCACAAACCACCACATCCGAACAGTCCGGTGTTCTATTGGCCAAGACCAGACCCAAAGGTCTGAGGTGTGTGAGAGAAAGATGTTCCTGGACTTAGGGAGGGAAGTTCCTGAAAGCAAAGAAAAACAACTAAGTTCAGCAAGAAGAAGAAAAGGCAAAACAGGAAAGAAGAAAGAGGCAGGCAGGGTGAACCAAGCCAATCCCAAACCACAAGCGAAGGTTTGGATAACGGGCGGCCACAGGGCTGAGGTCGCACCCTCTCGAATGTTTTCTTTTCCCCCTCCATCATTCTCTCTGAGTGTGTCTCTGCCCACATGCACCAATGAAGGTCTCTGCCCCACACAAAGTAGAACAAGATCCTGGCAAAACCCAGCTTGTCCACTGGCTGTGGGGAACCTTCTCTGGCGTGGACTTTGAATGAGCCGGTGAGAAAGACAAGACGATTTGCTCCTTGCATCATTGCTGGCTTCAAACTGGCCAGTCAGTGCCTGCTTGGGGGGAGGGGGTGTCAAGGAAAGGGAAGCGGCAACCTATCCCTTTTATAACTGCCATGAGCCTCAGCGGAGAGACAATTTTAGCATAAAAGATGGGAAGGCTTTTTTATTTGGTTTTGTTTTTCTGAATTACCTTCATGAGAAAGACCTTCAAGAGCCCCAATTTGTGTGTGCCAGAAAGGGAGAAGGACCAAGCATTCCACAGAGTCCTGAAAAATTCTGAAACAAATTGTGGCTAGTGAAGATGCCGTCACTAGTTTCTGACTGCTGAGTCTGGGGAGCGAAACAGGGCTTTCTGCGTCTTAAAACAGTTTTCAAAAAACTGATCTAGGACTCGGGAAAAGCTAACTCAATCAAAACTGATTAAGTGTTTTGTGAAACACTAAGGATTCAAAGGCAAAAGGAAAAAGCAACTCTGCCCTCACAGAGCTTACATTCTACATGGAAAGTGGTATAGGGAAAGAGAAATTCATAACTACATTAGATAAGATCACAGAAAAATATTTTATATCTTAGAAACTAGTACCTAGACTTGCTTGACCTAACAAAGAACAAAATGTTGACCTGAGCCTTCTGTCTTTGGAAGTTTAAAAGTAGCAGCCTGCCTGGGGCTGGTTGTGAAGGACATTCCACGACACAGCATACGCTGTGTTGATCAATGTCAGAGTTCACGTAGCTAACCCTCAACCCATTTTGAAGGCTGTCTCCATGTGCTACAACTTCAGTAATTAAAGATTGTTATATGACTAATAAAAACTAAGCTAAAAAGTCAAAACCCAAACAATGGCAGGAAATAACATGTGTGTACAATATGTTACCAACACACTGATAATTTTCAAAAGTGACTTTTTAAAAAAGTATTATAAATCTTTCAAAACACTGTGATTTATTAAGCGAAAGGTCTGAATGGCTCAAGCTATTAAATCGAGCTTTTAAGTCTCAGTGGCACTGCCAAATCTTTTGTTCTTCTGAATTAAATTTAGAAGGCAGCATTCATTTTTCAGGGCGCCACGTTTCATCGTCCTTTCCTCAAAACTCAGAGATCCTTCAGAGAAATGTGTTACCTTGTTATCTATTATCACAATGGAGTGACAAAAACAATAACATCGTGGAGAAGGGACAGATTAAGGAACAACCCAAAGGCTCATTTTTTTCCTTTGATCCCGCCCACTCACATAACGGACCACCCTAGGCATGAGATGAGGGAAACAATGGCCAGAAGACAACATTACAAAACTGCATTAAAAACAAGTGTAAGGAACAAGCCAAGCTTAGAAAGGACAAGCATTTAGAAAAAAATAAGAGAGCCGAAAGTACTGACCTGGAATTCAAGCTGGTGGCAGCAAGGGAGGAAGCAGCAATTTGGAGGAGAAGCAGAGAGGAAGAAAGGGATGAAGCAGAGAATAAAAGAAAGGGGAGACAAGCATTAGTTTTCAAACAGATAGCCAATGGATGCACTATTGAGCAAAGTCACAAGCAAACAGTGAGCATCGATTGATCCATCAAGATTGATTAAGCACCCACTCAGTGGCAGGCATTGTGCTAAGCACTTCTATTTCATTTGTACCTGATATGCCCCTGGAAAGGCCGTGAGTATACCTTGCAATTTAGGGTATCGAGAATTCTCCCCCGGAAGCCAATTTCTGCCTCAGAGGCCCCAGTGCAGCCCCCTCTGATGCAAATCAGAGGTGCCCTCGAGTCAGCCAACGGCAGAGTTTGGCCGATTCCGGTATGAATATTTATATAGACATTCCCTATCTGTAGGTCCATAAACTTTTATGATTTAATAAATAGAAGTGGAAATCACAAAGGTAGCCTATCTCGTTATAAGCTCAGGGGTCACACAGATATGATTTGAACCAGCAAGGGTTGGACCAATACATATTCCCTTGGTTATTTCTCTTTTCATGCCTGAAAATTAAAAGAGACTGAGCAATCTGGCTATGTGGGGTCAGGGATCATTATTTTAGGGGTTCAGCAAGCCATGTGCCTAGGAACGATCCCAGACAAAGTCAGGGATCTTTCGGTTAAGGCATTCTCTCCTCCCCCTCCACCTCCCTCCCCATCCTCATGTACCATCACCCATAAAATACAGTTTCTTCCAGAGCTGAAAACAGGGTTTGGTGTTTTTTCTTCTGATTGTGAAAATAAAGTTCATATTTCATCACTATAAATACCCATATGCTTAGTATAAAATATCTAAAATGCATTTACAATTAGCTGTCAAAATATTATAATATTAATATATACATTAACATATACACAGATATATGTTACTATATACATTATTATATATATTTACCTATATATGAGATATATATATACATATATATATATGTGCTATCTAATATATACTATTGAATAGATACATACACACACACATATATACACACATATCTATATACCACCAGGGTATTTTTCTAGTAGTATTTTTACCTATTCTTTAAAAATACAAAAAAAAAACAAAATTAACTCAAAAATTTGTCTTTCGACTATCTTCTATTTGAGATCAATTCAATTTCTGTATGTTTTTTCTGGGGTTTGTGTGTATGTATATTTTGTACATTTGTTTCAGGCAGATGATTTCATATCTTTGTAGATCTCTCAGCATAGAAAAATCCTCTCCCAATGCTGATTGTCACCTCATCTGTAACTTCTAGTCTTAGAAATGTAGTCTGGGGCTCTTTGAGGTTAAGTGACTTACCCAGGATTATAGATTTAGGATAAGTCAGCAGCGACACTGGAACCCCAGTCCTTCCTGATCCCAAGGCCATCCCTCCAGACAGAGAAGCAAGGGACTCAGAGGAATGACTGAGGCATGCTATTTTGGACATGGCTAATGCAGGGATGTGTTTTGTTTGACTACATATGTTTGTAACATGTTTTGTTTTTCTTGCTTTTTCAAGAGAGGGAAGAGGGAGAAAATTTGGAGCTGAAAATAAATAAAATTCTAAAAATAAATAAGAGCTGAACATGGTCATTGGATCAGTGACCTAAGGCTAGAAGGGACCCAGAAAGTCACCTAGTTCAATCCTTCTACTTTACAATGAGAAAGCTGAGGCAAAGAAAGATGAAGCTGCTTGTCTAATGTTGCATAACCTGAAAGTGGCAGAGGGAAATTCTAAAGGCAGATCCTTCGTCTGCAAATTCATTTCCATCATAGTGCACTGTGGTCATCCACCAATAGATTCCATTCATCATTTTGTTGCCCATTAAAGCTTGTGTGAAGATATGGCCTCCCTTGGGTTGAATTGTTAACCTTTCAAAAATGGTGTAAAATCATCTCCAACCAACTTGGCATGAATATGTTAATAATATGGTAATGAATTTCAAAGAGAAATCCACTGGCAAAGATGGCACATGACAAGAATCCACCCCCCATCTGGAATGCTATGGAATGGAAGCCTTCTCATACCTGTAGTCACTTCTTCCTGTCACATAAAATGCAAAGCCTTTTCTCAGCTCACATTTATTTATATACTTCTACTACAGAATGTTTCTGATGCAATTTTTCAAAGTCAACCACAATTTAATGAAATGAGAGGACACATGCAGCATAATGGAAAATGTACTAAGTTTAGAGTCAAAGGATCTGGTTCAAATCCTGCCTCTGACGTTCCTACCTATGAGACCATTTAACCTCTGTGGGCTTCAATTTGCTCCCTGTAAAACTGTAGGGTTGGATGACATGGCCTCTGAGGTCCATTAGCTCTGAATTTATGATCCTTTGAGCTCATTAATATCGAGGATTTCCACTATGAATACTCCTTCCACCAAATTACGGCATCACTTGCCTGTAACTGATAATCCTAGAGAGTTGCCTAGGACACTTAGAGATGAAGTGACTCAATCCAGCTCTTCTTGACTCTAAAGCCAGACCTCTAAAGTTGACTCTACCGCATTGCTTCTCATTATTATCATAGCTGTCTCCAAAGTAGAATGGGATGGTTCTGAAATAGTGTGTTCACCCTCACTAGTAAAGGCTGGTTGAGAAGTTATCAGGTATATTAGAGGGCTGGTTTCTTGGGCTAGATCTCCAAACTTCAGGCTTCCTTTAAAAGGGTCAAATTAAACAAGGATCACCAAGCTGATGGCAAAAACTTTGCAAAACTCAAAGCAATATTTTAAAATTATCACTGTTATTATAATCATCATCATTATCATTATTGATATTATGTCAGTAAGAAAACACAACCATTGCTGGGCCTTTTTTGCATATATTCTCTTTAGAACTCAGTTTCCTCATCTGTAAGATGAAGGTGACGGAGTCAAGAACTTCTAAGGTCCCTTCAGCCCTGAATCTATCTTTCCCATAATTCTGTGACCCCTTTCTGATCCACACGATGCCTTACTCTTGCTTCAGGGAGATGAGTGAAGACCAAGGCACCCATGTTGGTAGAGACACACAGCTTCCATTTTTATTTCTATTTTTTCTTCTAATAATAGTAAGTTGGTAGGAGATCCCTGAAAGTTAAATCTATTTGTGTTTAATTTAACTTTCAACTACATCCATAATTTCTTTTGCATTGAGAATTCCCAATGAGGAAATGCCCTCTACTAATGCATACCAGCACTTGGTCTGCAACTGAAAGCCTGAGTGAATTGCTGGGGGTACTGAGAACTTAAATGCTTTGCCCAGGTTCATGCAGCCAGGATATGGGGTTGGGGATTTGAACCAGGTATTTCTATTTTATTATCGATTTTGAAATGCTGCCCATTTCTACTGCCAGGCACAGTCAGACCTTGAAGTGTGCATTCACTTATTCTCCAGTCCATTATCAGGGTGCTTTTTTTTTCCTTTCAATTGTACTTGAACCAAAAAGGGTCTCCATGGGTCTATAAGCAGGGAAGTGGCCCTTGCCAGAACTTGCTCTCAGGGACTAGGAGAAGGAAAACATAATTGGAGGCAGATATCTCTGGATTCCAGGCATTACCTTGGTTTACAGGTAAGTGGCCCAGGAAGTCAAGTTGTCATAAAAGGGAAACCATTTTCCCACCCCAAAGATGCCTGTAGATCACACAGGGCTAACAGGTAATTTGAAAAGCAACCTCTAATGCCTAATCGTGCTGATAGGAAAACGAAAAGAACCCTCCTTTCACAAAGAACTTAAGAGTTTGTTCATAGGTATGCATCCTGGTGTGCTGCCCATGAAATTTACCCATTGTGGAGTCGACCCAAATGGGAACAGAAGGAAGGTGGATTTCTAGACTGACAACACAGCTTCGAGAAAGCAAAGAATCCATTTGGATAAAAAGTAGAAATGTGGGGCTCTGCTACAAGGAGCCAGCAGGCCCTGGACCTGACATCTTCCCTTGCACATGACTGGCACCAGAGCTCCCCAGCCAGGTCAGTCCCATTTCGAATGGGTGACTGCAGAATCCCTTCAAAACCAATTTCCAATCTCTGAATCACAGACTTAATTACAACCATTCCTCCACAATGTTGGAATGGAGATGTCTGTCCCCGCGGCTCAGAGATCTGTAGCTTCCCAGTCTTATGAGGTATGAATTTTAGGGTCAGAGCCAAGAACATGAGATATGGCCTAATCAGAAGGAGGCCATCTCACAATGCAAGGGAGAAGTGAGGGACTGAAGCCACATGGAGCCCAGCAGAGAATGCCTTGGAAAATCAGGCTGTTTCCTTTCCCAAAGAAGCCATGCTACTCCACCACGCCCACCCAGACTGTCTGCCTTCATGTGTTCTGGGGCTGAGACAAAGATGCCACAAAGATGCCCTGTTGGACTCCAGACAAAGGAGTCAATAGAAGACGGACAGAGCCCTCTCACAACATGCTTTGTGAATTACAATGCCTGGGAGGTGACAGGTTTAAGGAGAGGGACAGAGAGTGAGATAAGGAGAATGTGCAGAAAATACATACAGATAAATGCCTGTAAAAATCCCTGTTGTCTTAATGCACACCAGATTGAAGAAATAAAAATGTTAATACCCCCTGGTGATTTGAAGGCCCCATCCACTTAGGACCTGTTTTCTTCACTTGAAAATTATGTTATGTATACAATACCTGATAACTAATTAGCATTCCTCTGGGTCTCTCTTTTATATGAAAGCGATTTATAAGGTCATTAGGCCTCCCAATCCCCCTGAGAGAGAATGCAGCATACATTACCGCTTGTGTTTTGGAGTGGTTAAAGATGGGGTGACTGGGCCTTAGTGATCTAGAAACCAGGATGACCTGGGTTTCATCTGACCTCGGGAACCTACTGCCTACGTCACTGGGGTGCTGAGGCCATCTAAGTGCTTCATGAGCACGCCATGCTGCCCTAAGTGCTGGAGACACACACAAAGGAAGGGGACAAAAAGCTCCTGCCTTC